ATATTATAAAAGTATGAAGTTTAGAAAAATTCTTAAGAGAAGCATGAATGTCCTTGAAGAGCTGAACATTTTGATACCTGAATGGCTTTGCTAGCTGAAAGTATGCTGAACTTATTAAAGATGTGAAAATAGTCCAATAGGACCCCACAAACTAGGTAAACCGTGTGTGTGGGCGGGGGGGTGATAGAGAGGGGGAGGGGGACAGAGACAGAGAGAGGAGTTATGTTGGGCCTGTCCCAGTTGTGCTGCATTTTATGAACCACCAGATGGTACTCCAAAACTATGTCAAGACAACACTTTGAGCTCCCATTGACTTGTATTGCAAAATATAAAGCTGAATAGATTAAAAAGTATAAATGTTATTTAAAAAAAGTTGAGTACAAGCAGGGATGTCCTTGAAGATTTGAACAGATCAAGACCTCAATGGCCTGTATAGCTGAAAGTATGCGGGACTTATAAAGTGCTGAAAAAAGGGTGGAAGATCCCAGAATAATAAATAAAGAACAGGAGAGCATAGTGTGGATGCTTTACAGTATCCACACAATAAAAGGTTTCCCTCAATTGTAAGTAAAGGCCACAGCCCAAACTGAAAGTCAGTAAGCAGACAGGCTTCCACATACTTTCGACATTTGAAGGATGACGCTATTGCATTCAGGAGATTGCACTGTATGCAGCATGTCAGCCATTAGAGCAGGGGTGTCAAACTCAATCACACAGGGGCCCAAAACTCAAAGCACACTTTAGGTCGCGGGCCGAACAGGATAAAAATTTATTAAACAGACTAAAACTAAACGTTTTTTGAACATAAATATGAATCAAAACAGACAGGATACAATATTATTCTAAAATAAATAAACAAACTTAAAATCAGCAACTGTATTTCTGCTAAGGCCTACATTTGCAAACACCTGCTTTTTGTCGGGACACAAGACGTCACACACTTTCATCATGCAGCTCTTCAGAAACTCTCCCTCGGTAAATGTCCGGGCTGATTTTCTCCTCTGTCCCCTTAAAACTTGTTTTCACAGCAGCTTCACTGTGTGATTTCGCTTTAGTTAAAACGTCTGCTGTGATGTCAGATTCCTCTTTAACTCCTCTACCTTCTGTAGCTTCTGCTCTGCATTCACATTTTTCAGCTTGTCCTGATGTTTTGTCTTATAGTGCCATCTTAGGTTATATTCCTTAATTACAGCCACATTAGCTCCACAAATAAGACACACGGGTTTACCAGCAATGTCAGTAAACATATACTCAGCCTCCCACCGGTTTTGAAAGGCTTTGTTTTCAGGATCAGCTTTTCTCTTGGCCATTGTTAGGGGCTAGCTTTGACTTTAAATTAGGGTTGTATGCATCAACAGACGCTTGATTGATCTGACGTAATTGACGCAGGAATGATCGCAGGTCATTCGGTAAGGCAGCTGTTGCGCTGCATTATGGGATTTGTAGTTTGTGTGTTATCGGCGCTTCATACCGTCGGGCCATTAAAAAAAAAGATGCACAAGAAGATCTCGTGGGCCGGGTGTGATTGTACGCCGGGTCGGATGTGGCCCGCGGGCCTTGAGTTTGACACATGTGCATTAGAGAGTCACAAGTCAATGATTGCTTCCCAAGTCTCTTACATGATCATTCCTCGGTCCTCGCTAGACCCTGAAGTCATTCTGATCAAGGATGTCCCAAGATGATGTGAGGAGTGAGGCGTGAGGAGGCTGCTGGAGGAGCCATGACCAAGGGTGCTTTCACACCTTAATTCGTTTGCTTTGCTCCGAATCAGTTGACGAGTTGGTAAACATGTAGCAATCTCTCCTTGGTTTGGTTTCGTTTCACACAGAAAAATCCAAGCGCACCAAAACACGTCACGTAAAACTACACGAGAACGTTCTCTCCGCTTATTGGTCAGATGTGTCTGCCGCGAGAACAGAAAAAGTAAATAAAGGAAGAAAGTCCACGTTTCTGTGACGAGAGAGGATGGAGGTCAACATACGCGGGTTGGGCGTCGCCCTGGTTATTTTGTATGACGTTACTTGCATTTACCACTTAAACCAAGTCGTACAGTTTGCCCACGATTCATCCTGGCGCATGTTTTAGGTGACAGGAAATAAAATCTACCCATAATCCAATGCCCTCAAATCAATCATCCATGGCCTTTGGTCCCGTTTTGGTTCGGTACGCGTCCTCACCAGGAGGACCGCACCAGAGATCGCTAGATGATGCGGATCGAGACCACCTCATTTTGGGGGTCTCGGTGTGGTTGTTTTGGTGTGCACTCGAGTGCGATTACCGTGTTCACACCAGACAAAACGAACCACACCAAGAGGGAAAACGAACTCTAGTTCGATTCAATCGAACTAAACGCTGTAGGTGTGAAGGAACCCCAAGACAACAAGAGAGCATCCTTCACAGAAGTCTTATGAATCAACATGCCTCTTTATCAGAAACTAGTTGGTAATTGGACGCCTCAGATGAAGGACATGAGGAAAGGACACCTCACTTTGTTAATACTGTGTTTCTTTAGTCCTTTCTCCTTGTACCTTTTTCTTGCATCTTACGTGGGGAGGACTAAGGTGTAAGGAAAAGACGCAAGTGAGGGAAACATGGACCCATACAAAAGACCTGGGAAGCAGTCAGTGTCTGTGCTACACACTGAAGACCAGCAGAATAATAAGTACTATGTCCTCAGACTGGCACTACAGAAGACATGTAATTCAAGCCCAAAAGTGAAAGATTGCATAAAAATGTTTATTTTCAAATTCAGTAAAAAAAAATCAAACAGAAAATTATTTTTTTAATGAAATCTTGAATGTGAACATAGTCTAACACAGTTTGATGAATGACTCCATCTCTACAGCTAGCAGGAAAACCACCTCCTGACATGGCGCTTGTCACAAAAACAAAAAGAAAGGTTTAATAATGCTTTCCTTGAGTACCGTTCAAATAACACATTATGCACATGTATTAACATTTGGTGACAATCTAATAGACAATAATTAAACCAGAGAACACTGACATTAAACAAACTTCAAAGAGCCTGTTACCACTTTGTGACAAAGAATGATGATCTCAACAATGCACTTGCTGCTGCAACATTTTCCACTGAGGGACAGGTGGAGAGTAGAAGTAAATCTCTGAGTAATGATTCCAGCTTTGCAGGATAATTTATTAGTTCACCCATCCTACTGACTGTAAACCACAGCAACTTCATGTGGTCCTGCAGCCCTTCATCAGTTTACTACTTACAGACTGCTCGTAAGAGTAAGCATGAATAATGTTAGTAAGATGGGGCTGCGACTCCGCAGCTTCCTCATCATTATTCAATTATAGCTCCTGTTTCAGATTGCTTGCGCTGTTCCTCTCCAAGTCGGGCTTCTGGTGCTCTGTTTTCTTATTACTCTTCTTGGCTTTGGCTTCATTCTGCTGCTTATACTTGGTGTCGTCCTTCTTGGCGGCCTTCCCGGGGAACACCTGTCCTTCCACAGTGACATCAACACAGCGTGCCTGGGCCACAAGGAAGTCTTTGACCTCCCAGGCCAGACTGCCATCACGCAGCATAAAGATCACCCTGTTGGAACCCACCACGAACCTGCAGGACAGGTGGATCACACCAAATACTGTTCATTACTACAGACTACCTTCCTTTGTAATAAACTGCAATTAATAAAAAATAAACTGCTATAAACAATGTCCCATCAAAGCTATACACAGTGGCTTGAGAAAGTATTCCTTCAATTTCAAAATCATTTTATTGTCTTGTAGATTAAATTTGAAATAAATGAGTGGAACATGGTAAACTGTTTTTTGTCATGGCAGTCACAGGTAAACAGACTTGTAATGACAGGTGTACTCACTGAGTCTGTACTTTGTGGCCTGTACTTTAAATGTAGTCTTAACTGGTTTGTTTTTAATTACACAGTAGATGAAATACCCTTCACTTCAATTTAGAATACACTTATTATAAGACGGCATAATTCTGAATCATTTAACATTTGTAAATGTCAAAATGTTGTACAATTCAGTTAAATTTAGTCTAATTTTAACAGACCATAGATATCTTTTGCCAGAAAAAAGGACTCTCCAACAAGAAACCAAGTTACTGTATGTCTAATGCATGTCTGGTGAGCTATGCCAATGTGGCAGCTGTCTGCACTAAGCCACTGCTCTAGCTATATAGGTACTTTATACATAAGTTTGCTGTGTAAAAAAACATTAAAATTACAATTTTCAAATATTTTTGGTGTAGAAACCTGCTCCAAAACTTCGGAGACTCCTATGACTCAGACCCATCGAGCAGCGCTGGCAGCAGTGCAGAAATATTCTTTTCCGAAAGGTTTTGAGCAGGACTGACCTCTCTAACAATAAGAGGTGTTCGGTTTTGTTGCATTTCCATTTATTGTAATCTCATAAAGACAAATATCTGAAGAGCTGGGCAGAGTGTGGCAGGTCGTAGTAAAGCAGAGTGGAGCAGTGAGAGGGAGTGCTGGGTGGAGCAGAGTGGACTGATTTGGAGCTTCATGCTAGTACTAACTTAAGTTACATATTGTAGCTTTAAGTCAAACTTTTAAAGAAATATTGTTTCTTGTGAGGAACCTTATACTTAACCTGCCATTTGGTTGAAATAAACATCGCCTAACAAGTTATAAAGACAAAAAAAATCTATTTGCCATTAAGCCCTCATTTGGTAATGAATTTGATGATATGATAACAGGTGTTTGTACATTATCAAAACATCAAAGTTACATACTTGGAACACAGCTCAACAAACCCCATCTGCTGATGAAGACCTTGCAATGTAACTGAAAGCTCTAGACAAAAGCTAGTAAGTGGACCTTGGTCATGTACATATAACCTTCCTAGGATGTTGATGGGACTGAATTTACTGTATGAAGTGAGCTAGATGTGCCGGTGCTCTGGCTCCAGTTTTTAACAACTGCTATAATTTTAACAAACCACCAGATGATACTGTGCTGTGTTTGATGCACAAATAGGAATACATCCCTAAAAGTAGAATTTCATCAGGCTTTGTTCAAGTGCAACAACCAACTTTAGTTCTAATAGCAGTAGTAAAATTATGAGTTGATTAATCTGGATAATCCACCAGACAGATAAATAACTGTAGGTGAAAGTGAATAAATAAAACTACCCTGTTGAGAAGCAGGAAAACAAAGAAAATGAATTCATTAATACTAAGCACCTTTGAACATCATAGTTGGCATTGAAGAGGCTGCCCTGCCACAGGCCTGTGATCTCCTCTGTCTCTTTCTCAGTGGGATCTCCTGACACTGTAGCAAAAACCATCAGAGTCCTGCCCTTCTTGGACATCTTGAGTAACTCCTCTGGCTTAGAGGTGTCCACCCTGGAGAAATCAATGGGTGGAGGAGGTCTCCTGTGCTCTGGGAGATCACCTTCCTCAATGTCATCATCTTTCTGTGAAAAAAGAGAAGAAAATGATGTACAGTGCATCATGAGAGATTAGGGTGGCTAGGACAAGATGAACCACTAGAATATATTAGTGTACATCTCTTCCTGTCCTACTCTTCATGTGGCTCGACATGCTAAGCCAAACACCATTCTAACTACTGTGGAACATTTACCAAAGGTGAGACCTCAGGAAGTGCTTCGCACTTTTTCTGTGGCATTCTACACCTTACCATAAATACTATACTGCAGCAAGACACTTACTGTTTACTGCACATGAATACAATTAATTTTATGCTAGGCTACTAACTGCTACCTTAATACATTTCAGAAGCAAATATTGCACTTTGTACTCAATTGCATTTATCTTAATATGAACTGTGTCATCCTTGTTCCTACGTGGGTTCTCTCTGGGTGCTTCGGCTTCCTCTCAGTCCAAAGATGTGTGGCTTAGGTTGACTGGTGACTAAATTGCCCCTAGGATTGAGTGCGAGTGTGTCTGGTTGTCTGTCTCTAAGCATCACTGTGATTAGAGAAAAAATGTATCAGATTATTCCCACAACTCTCACAGACATGTCATCAAGTCCAATGGCTTTAGAAACATCTGTCAGACTTTATTTATAAACTGAACAAAATTATAAATGCAACACTTTTGTGTTTGCCCCCATTTTCTAGCTGAACTCAAAGATCTACGACTTGTTCTATCTACACAAAAGGTCTATTTCTCCCAAATATTGTTCACAAATCTGTCTAAATCTGTGTTAGTGAGCACTTCTCCTTTGCTGAGATAATCCATCCACCTCACAGGTGTGGCATATCAAGATGCTGATTAGACAGCATGATAATTGCACAGGTGTGCCTTAGGCTGGCCACAATAAAAGGCCACTCTAAGATGTGCAGTTTTATCTCAGAGCACAGTGCCACAGATGTCGCAAGTTTTGAGGGAGCTTGCAATTGGCATGCTGACTGCAGGAATGTCCATCAGAGCTGTTTCCCGTAAATTGAATGTTCATTTCTCTACCGTAAGCCGTCTCCAAAGGCGTATCAGATAATTTGGCAGTACATACAACCGTCCTCACAACCGCAGACCACGTGTAACCACACCAGCCCAGGACCTCCACATCCAGAATCTTCACCTCCAAGATTGTCTGAGACCAGCCACCTGGACAGCTTCTGCAACAATCGGTTTGCATAATCAAAGATTTTCTGCACAAACTGTCAGAAACTGTCTCAGGGAAGCTCATCTGCATGCTCGTCATCCTTATCGGGGTCTCGACCTGACTGCAGTGCGTCATTGTAACCGACTTGAGTGGGCAAATGCTCACATTCGATGGCATCTGGCACTTTGGAGAGGTGCTCTCTTAACGGATGAATCCCGGTTTTCACTGTACGGGGCAGATGGCAGACAGCGTGAATAGCATCATGTGGGTGAGCAGTTTGCTGATGTCAACGTTGTGGATCGAGTGGCCCATGGTGGCGGTGGGGTTATGGCATGGGTAGGTCGTATGTTATGGACAACGAACACAGGTGCATTTTATTGATGGCATTTTGAATGCACAGATACCGTGATGAGATCCTGAGGCCCATTGTTGTGCCATTCATCCACGACCATCACCTCATGTTGCAACATGATAATGCACGGCCCCATGTTCTGCTCTGCTACACATGCTGCTCCCATGCAACATACATTGTTATATTCTTATATATTTTTTATTATATTGCTGCATCTGTTGCTGCTTAAAGTGCCTTAGATTTTGTGTTATTTATCTACTTTATATTTCATTTGTACTTTTGTGGCATTCATGTGGACAGCAAAGTAAGAATTTCATTGTACAGGGAAACACGTTTCCTAACTGTGCATATGACAAAATAAACACTCCCATGTTGCAAGGATCTGTACACAATTCCTGGAAGCTGAAAACATCCCAGTTCTTGCATGGCCAGCATACTCACCGGACATGTCACCCATTGAGCATGTTTGGGATGCTCTGGATCGGCATATAGCATGTGCCAGTTCCTGCCAATATCCAGAAACCTCGCACAGCCATTGAAGAGGAGTGGACCAACATTCCAGAGGCCACAATCAACAACCTGATCAACTCTAGGTGAAGAAGATGTGCTGCACTGTGTGAGGCAATTGGTTCGTCACACCAGATACTGACTGGTTTTCGGACCCCCCCCAATACAGTAAAACTGCACATTTTAGAGTGGCCTTTTATTGTAGCCAGCCTAAGGCACACTTGTGCAATAATCATGCTGTCTAATCAGCATCTTGATATGCCACACCTGTGAGGTGGATGGATTATCTCAGCAAAGGAGAAGTGCTCACTAACAGAGATTTAGACAGATTTGTGAACAATATTTGAAAGAAATAGGCCTTTTGTGTGCATAGAACAAGTCGTAGATCTTTGAGATCAGCTCATGAAAACTTGGGGCAAACACAAAAGTGTTGCGTTTATAATTTTGTTCAGTGTACTTAGACTGCTTCTCTCCCATAGATGTCTCTGAGTTGACCTCAACAATTGCTTCATCTAAATCATCATGTCTCCTAGACCCCATCCTGACCAGGCTGCTCAAAGACATCCATCCATCCATTTTCTTCCGCTTATCTGGGACCGGGTCGCGGGGGCAGCAGTCTAAGCAAAGATGCCCAGACTTCCCTCTCTCCA